CTGATGACGGAGGCAGTATGACCTCTGAAACGTTGGTTAACATCGACCAGACTACACAGCGCAACAACCCAGAAGACGGAAATCTTCATCGCCCTGATGACGGAGGCAGTATGACCTCTGAAACGTTGGTAAACATCGACCAGACTACACAGCGCAACAACCCAGAAGACAGAAATCTTCAAGAGTTTGCATATTTAAAGTCTATTGGTATTTCGTTAATTCAGGTCTGGAATTATACTAAATCGTTACCATGTGTTTTTTATGCGTTCCCGTTGCAAGTATGTTTTTTTCGGATAAGAAAATTTCTATCTTTCTAATTTTATGGTTATTTCTCCCCGTCGTTCCTAAACTTAAACGCCCATTTTTAACATCGTGTTTGTGGAAAACTGCGATCTCGGTTTAATAAATTTCCCTTCACGAACTAGGACTGTCTGTGCCATGAAGTGCAAACGTGAAGTAAATCGAAGCTGATATTGGCGAGTCAGGCTATTTGGACGGTGCAGACTGCAGCTGTTCAAACACGCTGTTTGAGTTCTTGTGTAAGATATTCCATTGGAGCATTCCTGTTGTGTCATTTCCACTCGAACAATTACACAAGTTCTATGTCAACACAATTGTTTTATTTATTCTAACCAGGCAGTTTCATGCTTCTTGCATAATAGATAGTGCATTCATTTTGTGTTTGCACTAAATAGTTTAGGGGCTAAAGCATTCCACCGGTCCATCTCTGTATTTCACACAAGTGTTCAATGTTCAGACAAGAATTTCCATTGGAAGGTTTACGAACGCATGCACCGAAACATATTCTTGAATTAAATTTCACCATCTTCGGTCGAACCGATCATACGAACGTCGCACGTTGCGGTGAAGTCTTGCCACTTCCGGTTTATAGTTGAAAGTTTATTGGTTTTCCTCAGGCTCTTTAGTCACTTTCATAGATACTACGGCTGATTTATTTAGGGGATTGCGAAGGAGGAGGACGTGGCCTAGCTCTGATTAAATATTCAGGCAATCGTCTGGAGAGCGTTTGAGTCAACATAGTCTAACCTAGGTGAGATTCGAATCCAATTTCTCCCAAATATAAGTCCACAGCATATCAAACTGCTTGTTAAAATTATTAATATTGAAGAATTCGATGACGTAAAATGGATTAAACTGGCTGAGGAGAGCACCCAAGAGCAAAATTTGTGACGGTGGTCCCACAATAACAAGGAATTCGCATCTGAATAGCTAAAAATGTGATAAATGAATATCCTATGCCGTGGTGTTGTAATGTCTCGGGATCGTTTTAACGAATCGATTGTTCAAAATCGGGATGAATTTTTTAAAAAAAAATTGTAAGCACGTTATAAAATTACATCACTTTGAAATACATCAATATATCCTATATTTTAATTTTAACAACAACATTTTAATAATAAGTTTGTGTATAGACTGAAATAATAAATATATACTGAATTTCAACACAAACATGACGCATCTAAACTACAAATCCCTATCTTTGTAAGACAATACAAAAATAACGTTTATAAACCACAATTCCTCGCAGATATTTGTGTGTCTGTTCACACTATGATAACTGTTAGCGTTAAAAAGTATGTAACAAAAATCAGTCCCTAAGTTTGTTACTTCGGAACCCTAAAATAAACCATCTCAATAGCAAGACATTTTTTGAGTGTTTTCAAATTTTACGTTAATCATTTATTGAATCATCTATAACTTATCAGTTCTTTGACTTAATTAACGTAATTCTAGAACTGTCTTATCAGCAGTATGTATTTAATTTAATATAATAGTCCGTCGGCAGAGCGAAAGTTTGGAAGTAACTTAAAGTATAAATTACAAAGCCGATGAGCTGTGCAGTTCTTATCAGCTACATCGTAGATTGGTGCTTCGCCTCTGGAGTATCTTGCTATGTACTATGATGTTCACCATTCACCTACCTTCTGGAAAGCTGCGGTACTCGTTAAGACTTGGTGGACCTGGCGCCGATCTGGCTGAAGCAAGTCGGATCACAGAGATGACTGAGTGAAGACTGAGGAGGACCGCCTTTACACACCAGCCGGTCGTTCATCGGGCATTTCACAACTCCCCACCACGGTATGACTTTTCATACAACCTAATTATTGGTTCATATACTATTGCGGTGTTTGTTCATCAACGTAGTTATTCTTCCTTGCATTTGTTGATTAAACGACGCTGTCTGTTTCGCGGCGAAACAATAAAAAGATTAAAGAATAGTGAATTTCAAAGTATATGGAAGAGAAATGGTCGCGACTTGGTTTTAGATGCTATCCCGAAATTTTCCTCGAAGACTGAGGAAATCCACGGAAACAATGAGATTATTCGAGGCCCGGCTTTGAACCCGGCACCCCCACATGGAAAGCAGTTGTGCTAAGCATTTTTCTTCCTTCCTTTATATATTTATTTATTTGTATTTCATTCTTAAGTGTACTAACAGGAAAACGTAACATAGAGAGACGAAGACAAATGCCTTGAGCGGAATTTGAACCCACGATCCCAGTAGCCAAGTCCCATGCTCCAAGCAGCTTTTTTCGTCACGTTTGGTTCCTGAAGGGAATATTTACGAGTAAATAACATCGCAAAATTCAATTCGCACCTCGAAATGACCGTAATTTTAATAACGTTAAAAATTAATATAATAGGGAAGGATATTAACAAATATAATTAACAATTATGGTTAAAATAAGATCAGATTAAACTCGATAATCGCAAGCCACCATCCAGGTTCAGAATATTCTGTTTCCCAGCCTCCTTCTTGAAATAAAGTAACAAACGAAGTGTGTGTAAATTATATACATATCGAATGTTCATTTAGTCAAAACATTTGAGTTACGATTTAAAATTTTGCAGAAAAGTCAAGACCATAAAATGCTTCAAGTTTTTAACTAGACACTGTTTAATTAACTTTCGCATACTAAAATAATGTTCTCCATGCCATGTAATTAGCCAGTTTTGTTTTCTTATAAAGTCTGCTTCTTCTTTAAAATTATCTTCCACACACACTTTTTATTCATCATAACACACTGGTTTTCGAGGACAGCCAAAAGCCCGAAGATGAACTAATTAAGTATAAAAAAAATGTCGTCTGAAAAAATAAACGTTAATACTTGTGTAAAAATGAATATGTGATTACGTGACTTCACAATATGTAGTTGTGTAAACAGGTACTTAACATAAGGCCCTTTTTGAAAGCTCGACAGAATAGCATTTGCAAACTTATAATTTTATCCACTACACTGTGTTTATGTCAAACTTCGTTCGTTTCTTAATCTAAGAGGAGAGTATAAAAAAATTACTGAAGAGCAAAGTGAGTCCTAGAAAGGATAAAACCTTATAAAAATTGCCAAAATTGTGTTATAACGAACTGAACATGTATATAACCAATGCTCATGTCTTTGTATTTAATATTAAAATTATATCCGGATGGACAAGATGGGTAGAGCATGTAACACGCGTGTTAAAAACATAATATGAATATGTTTAATTTTTGACGGAAGCAATTATAGGGATCGACCACTCGGTGGATGGGAAAATTTGTGGCGAGTGGCGCTGACATTGTGACATAAGCTGTGAAAGAGTCAGCTGGATTGGACTGGTCCAGAAGATAGCGAGAATCAGTGATGACGATTACAAATTTATATTCCATAAGAACAGGGAACATGTTAACTGTTTGCAAGGAAGAATCTGTTTTGAAGTTTACTGTACTCTGGGTTTTAACGCCGCTTAGTGTGATAGAAGTTCGCCGAAATTTCAGATGTGCATGCTGCTTCCATCATCAGGTACGTCTGCAACTTTGGTAAACGTCTACCAGGCTACACGGCGCAACAACCCAGAAAAGAACTATCTTCAGACTTCAGACTTACCTCAAATCATACAAGAATATACGTTGTTTAGTCAATCAGTCAGTGGTCTGAGTACTAACTTATTGAATACTTAGATATTCAATTACTAATTATTCTTATTTTTCCGGTTTAACAATGTTTGTAAATTTTCCGGTACACTTTACGGGTCCCCAACTTTTCAGTTGGCTTGATCTATAGACATTCGGTAGGACTCCTTGGACGAGGGATCGGCCCGTCGCAAGGCCTCTACCTGTATAAAAAAAACAGGACAACACAACACAGAAAAACACGGACAAATATCCATGGCTTGAATGGAATTCGAACCCACGGTCCCTGCGACCAAGCGGCACAAGACCCACGCCTCAGACCGCGAGGCCACTGAGAACCTCAATTACTAATTAATATGTTAAAAAATATTGAAACCTGCGTAATACTAAGTTGAAAAACATCGGCGTAGATAGAGTTCAACGAAATGAGGTACTTCAGTGAATTCATCATTGTCAGAAATGTCAAATGGAAGAAGTTTCATAAGTCTTCCTGACCTCTTTAACTATTAAAAGACGTAAATAAATTTCTTGCGAGGCCCTGTCGAAACTGGAATGAGCCCGTGAGCTGTGCTGTGTCATCTTGTAAGCGCCAGAATTCCATTGCATAGCAGACTCCGCTGTAACGGGAATTAACTCTGAAATACAAAGCAAAAAGGTGACAAGCTAAAGAAACGGTCGAAATGTAAATCTGACCTTCACTGCATATTTAACTTTGTACAAACTTATGCAAATTCTATGTATATCCTTCATTTCTTAGTCTGAAAGAGGGTCAGAACAGACTTTTGTTTTAATTACCTACGTATCATGTATAACTCTCTTAAAGGTTTGCGGCAATGGTTGATTTATTATATAAATACTGTGTTAAATATTATCCATATCTTGAGGAATATTTTATATACAATGTTTCTGGATTCAGATGATTGGTTCTCATATTCTGATATTTTTTTTTCTCGTAACGGCTGGAATCGAACTCGGGTCGTTTCGAATTCTGAGCTCTTTGCGTTGTGTTTATGTGCTGAGTATTCACGGTATTGCGTGTCCATGAAGGATAAAGCCGATAACCCTGATGTGTTAGAGGTCACATGACAAAATGAAGGATAAATACCAAGAAAACACGAAGGCTTTGAGAAATACTTCGTTTCCAATTACAAATATTTGCAGTAAGTTATTAAGTCATTGACTACAGCCTAAGGTATTTGTATTTGTATGAAGAACTCTTCTTAACATTCACACTTTTTAACTGCAGAATTTCACCTCTGAGAGGAATACACACAAGAAGGGAATATAACGTCCTTATTTATATGTACTGTTCAAACTTTCTTATCCTGGAACATCTTATGACTATGAGTATGTTTAAGCTTTCCTGCATAAAACTATTGGAAGAACAAGCAATGTGTCATGCTGTAGGTTCACAGAGAAGGCTATTTCCTGAGCAACCTATATTTCTTGATTTAAATCATTCTGTTGAACTCAAATATTCATCACCATATTTATAAAACATTTAAAATCTAATTTGAACCAATTTTTAAAATAATTTTTTTTTTAAATCCATTTTAATATTATCCTCCAGTGCCACAAGTGATCTCTCTTCATACAGTATCCCAACTGTGTTACTAATCCTCTCGTGTAGACAACTAAGAAATCTGCTCTGATGGAAATCGAAAGCTTCCTACGGCCGTCTTTGAAGGTCGGCATTGAATCTTCTCGGTAGCAATTACGTTTCTGGTGTTCTTTATGGCGGTCCGCAGTGGCCACGCGGTCTGAGGCGTGGGCCTTGTGCCGCTTGGTAGCTGGGACCGTGGGTTCGAATCCCACTCAAGCCATGGATATTTGTCCGCGTTTTTCTGTGTTGTGCTCTCCTGTGTACAGGTAGAGGCCTTGCGACGGGCCGATCCCTCGTCCAAGGAGTCCTACCGAATGTCTAATAGATCAAAGCCAACGAAAGTTGGGACCCGCAGATGCTCAAGGCACTGAAGAACGGGTCGCCTAAGTAAGTAAGTGTCCTTTATGCCTTGCCTAGGTCATAACACAAGTATATCCAAATATGGAGCATTGTGATACAATTCGAAATAAGCATTTTATAAGAGTAGGTGTTATAACCCACGGCTATAACCCAATGCTGAAGGTGTAGCTACCATCCACAAATTGAGAACACAATATGATATACTCAAAAAGACGAACACACATGAAATGCTTCTGTCTGCTTATAGTGTTAGACGTTTCGTAGCTACAAATTTTCTTTAAAATTCGCAATTTAGATATGAAAATTATACTCACATACGTATAGACATTACCTTCCCCTCATTAATTCAGTACAAAGAATACGTTAAAATGGAGAGGTTCAGGACTTCGTCTCTTGGCTACCAATAGATCCCATTATCGTTTTTCCATATCTCCATGTTGGTCCCTCCTCCGACACAGAGAACGCCAACTATTCTCGTAAGTCACTATTGCGCGAAGCTTAAGGTGGGTCAGGACATCTACAGGTCGTTAAACTTAAGTGTGTGGCGTGAGATATTGTGTAGGAAGCAGAATGAAGTCTCTGTTTAGCACAATGCGGGAAGGTAAATTTGTCTGCGTGTAAAAGTCTTACAGCCAGTCCCCATATTAATTAACTTAAGATTTTGAGTCACGAAGTCTGCCAAGAATATAGGTACAAGACACAACTGTCCCTTCTTCTAATCACTGTGTACCTTAAGATCAAAGCCGTACTCATTCTAAGACCTCGATGCTACACGCACATAGGGGGTCAGATTGATGCTCCGGCCGTATTTCTCACTGACAAAGTATTTTAAGCTGTTTGGAGCCTCATATGTGGACTGCACGAGATGTTTAGGTGTCCTGAATGGAATCAAACCTCGGTCATCCAGCCAGTAGCATTGCTGAGCTGTGTTGCTCAATAATCGTATAAATATCATCAAACTGTCTCGACTCCTCAGTCGTCTGTCTAACAGCATCGGATGGCCTCAGTTTCTTTTTGTATTTGTCTGTCCCTCCTTCGTTAATTAGGGTGGACCGTCCATCCGTATGTTTGTCTATCTCTTAAATGCGTCAGTGTGGCAAATCCGTTTTTTTCTGTCGACTGCTTTCCTCTGGGTTGTAATGCCGTCCGGAATTGGTAGGTTGGTACCAACATTTCGGAATAACAAGC